TCCACTCCTGAATCTTTCAGGTCATTGTTGCTCAGGTCCAGATCTCTCAGCGGTGAGAAGGGGTATTTGAGAGCAGCGACCAGATGATCAACCCACTCTTCACTTACTTTACAGTCTGTTAGTCTATGGAGGGTGATGGGTGTTTATTAATTTTTATAGAAACAGATAGATGTAAAGAAAAGGCATGTTTAAAGATACTTAATGGCCAACCATGTGATTGCCATTTGTAATACAGAGGACTTGTCCCCTCTCCTTCCTCTTTTGCATTCTGGCTAATAGTCCAGTTTGCTGAAATTATTTAAGGGTGAAGAGTTTATCTCACAAACAAGAGTGAAGAAAACTTACAAGGCCTTTTTGCTGCTCCTCACTGCCGGTATCAGCCTTCGTCTGCCCTCATCTGATGTGTTGTAACTCTTTAAGTCCAAGACTTCCAAATCGTTCTTTGATACCTGCAGCATGTAGGCCAGTGCAGAGCAGTGCAGGGGAGTCAACTCTGTTTTTGAATGATCTGACAATTTGAGATATTCCTGAATCTCATCTTTGACTTTGTGATCTCTCATCTCGACCATAGTCTGGAAAAGGTTGATGCAGCTGTCTGGAGAGAGGTTCTTCCTTCGCATAGATTTGATGTGAGTCAAGATTTTCTTGTCAGTATCTTGGCTTCGATCTGTTGGAGTCAGCAGACCATGAAGGACTCTGTGGTTGGGTTCAACTGTGAGGCCAAGGAGGAATCTCAGGAAGAAGTCCAGGTGGCCATTTTTCTTCTCCAGCACTTTGTCTACTGTTATTTTAAGAAGTTCAATTAAAGTATGCTCCTTGTCCTTTAAATCAAAGAAGATGCTGAGATCTTTAGTATCATTGTTAGTGACACAGTCATAGATGTAGAGAGCTGCAAAGAACTCCTGCACAGTCAGATGCACAAAGAAGAAGACATTTTTCTGGAAAATTATTTTTTCTTCTCGAAGAACTGTGGTGCAAAATCCAGAGTCAATGGATGCTTCTTTAATGTCAATGCCACAGGCCTCCAGGTCTTCCTCATAGAAGATGAGGTTGTTCTTCAGCAGCTGCTCAAATGCAAGCTTGCCGAGTTTCAGAAGAAATTTCCTCTGTGTTTTCAGAAGCTTCTCTTTGTTTGTCTCAACCTTCTTGTCATATTTTCTACTTCTGTGTTTTGTTTGGACACAGAGAAAGTGTGCCATCATTTCTGTAAGAGTTTGAGGAATTTCAGTTTTCTCGTCTCCTCCAAAGACTTCCTGGAATAACACTGCAGAAATCCAGCAGAAGATTGGGATCTGACACATGCTGTTGAGACTCTGTGAAGACTGAATATGTTTAATGATTCTGTCAGCAAGATCTGGATCATGAGTAAATCTCCTCGTGAAGTATTCAGCTTTTTGAGGATCATTGAAACCTCTTATCTCTGTCATCATGTCAACATGTTCTGCAGGGATCTGATTGGCTGCTGCTGGACGGGAAGTAATCCAGAGGTTTGCATCAGGAAGAAGGTTACCCTGGATGATGTTTGCTAGGAGATCCCTCACAGGTGCTGCTTCCTTGACAGATGTTATAGTCTTAGTGCCTTCAAAGTCCAGCTGAAACCTGCTTTCATCCAGACCGTCCAGGATCAGGACAGTCTTGGTTTTGGTATAATCCACTGAATCTTTGAGTTCTGACAGTGTGGGGTGAAATAAAGTCAGGAGCTCATGTAGGTTTTTTTCACCTGTAATCAAATTCAGCTCTCTGAAAGCAAGACTGAAAACAAAGTCTAGATCCTGGTTTGCCTTCTCTTCGGCCCAGTCAAGAATTAATTTCTGCACAGAAAATGATTTTCCAATTCCTGCGACGCCCTTCGTCACAACTGTTCTGTGAGGTTTGTCTTGATCAGGCAACGGTCTGAAGATGTCACTCAGACTGACTGATGAACACGTTTCCAGTTTACTTGTGCCATATCTGAACTCATGCTCTGTACGAGGCCCTTCACTCTCCCCAGTGGTGATGTAGAGCTCTGTATAGATGTTGTTCAAAGGACTCGGCTTGTCACCATTACCTTCAGACACCAAAAAAAATTTTTTTTGCATCGCTTCTTTCCATGTCTTCTTTGCCTCAAACAGTTTGATGTCACCTGTAACAATGAAATGCAAGATGAACAAGCCCAAAGTTACATTGTTAATACCAAATGATTTCATGTTTTTAAATGGGAAAAATGCAAAATCACAAAATGGCAAAGAGAACAAATCTTGAAATTAAAGTTTTCACTGGTTTAATTGTTTAAATTTTGTGTAGGATGAAAAAAATTAAAATCCAGAAAATTCACCAATTACAAAGAACCCTAAAAAAGTGTGTATAAAAGAGATGTTTTATTAACAAGAAAATCCCAAATATTCAAACATTCAAAATACCGCTCAAACTCATTTTACATCTAATGAGAGTTTAAAACTTTTCTCATAGTAGTTCTACAAATTCTTAATACATACCATTGTCATCTTCAGTATCTTTCAGGTTTTTCAATGTTATTCTGGATTTCTTTCCACACTGTGGACAGGAGTCCTCTGCTGGTGAATCTGAAGTGACACACTGTTTGCAGGACTCATGTCCACACATGAACTGGACTGGATCCCTTAAAACCTCCTTGCACACTGGACAGCTGGATTAGATGGGAGATGAAGAAAACATTTCATTATTATTGTGCATCACACACAGTGATATGACTGTATCTGAGGCAGCATTTGATCTACAAACAAAGAAATTATTCTCCTGTATTCAGAAACCTGTTGGTCTGGAGATTTATATCTATATTGCTATGGAAAATAAACAGCCTTAAAACATCACCTTCATACACCATCAACACCACATCATACACTTCTTCTTTTTATTACTTAAATTACTGTGTCGTGTCGTGCCAACGTTGGACAGTTTTCCAATTTCATTGTACTATTGTACTCTGTATGACTGTGCAATGACACTGAAAAACAAAGTTGAATCAGTTTAGAGTCCACAAACATCAAATGTAATATTCCTCAGCAGAAACTAATGTTGCCCCTTTAGCAGGATTAACCTAGATCCTGTTGAAAAGACCTCCAGGTTCTTCAAGTATTTTGTCACATGATGCAGAATTCATCATTGAATTTGTGACTGTTGGAAAACATTTATCTATATTCTGCATGAAAGCTCATTGTTGTTACTTGATCAAGGTTTTTCTTTGAAAAAGCTATCTATTGTGTGCCAATATCTATTGAGGCCACATAACTCTTTCGCAATTAATCTGTTCTATGACATTATTCCAAAAAGCCTGCCTTTGTG